AGTGGAAGCAGCTCTAGTTTGGTGAACACGAACACAATCCTCCACATGTGACTTTCCAATACAATAAAGGTCTTTGAAAAATATGTGAGGGTTTTTTTGCAGTACACTGTTAAATTAAGTCTGATTTTAAAAAAGGGAAAAATAAAAATTCAGCAGCCCCTTTAATACTGTGTTCTACTGGTGTATTTCAAATCTTCTCCTGTATCTCATTTGCGATTAAATAACATTGATTTTACTAGAATTCAAGCCTTAAAACTCTCCATATTGAACCACAACACAGCATAAAATCAATCACACCGGCTCCCAGTTATGGCAACAGTGTTGTTTTGCTAGTATATAACAAAGAATATTTTCAAGAACTTACTCTACCAAGAAAAAGTGTTGTATTTTTGACCAGGTAAGTACAAGGCAGGAGGCTCCATATTTACTGATACCAAATATCCATCTACGGTGTTCAGGGAGAAAGGGAGTGATCGATACAGTATTTGTTTAAGATATACTATGCAGGATTTTCCTAAAAAACAATAGATTCGTGTCGGTGAAGATTCTCAGTCATCCAGGTCATGGTAATCATAAGTGCTATATTGTAAGCAAATAGACTTGCTTGTGTTTCTTGAAGACATGTCACCTCTCATTGAAGAAGCTTCTTCAGTTCTAAATGACTGGTGCGGAGTCGCAGGCTTTAAACTCTGTGTGGGTGTGAACCCTTACAGAGTCGTTGAGGTAACATGTGAGCTCTTAGGGCGCATACACACCAGGATAGGCCGGGAGACTCGGTTCGACTGGGCGGGGAATGCTGAAAAATTTCACACCTTCATTTGGTTCGGTTCACTTTCACACTGCACTTTTTAAAGCGGCCCAAACTGCCTGGACAACATCACGCAGTTACAACAGCTGCTCGTTCAGGGGCGGTATTGCCCGAAACGACCACTGACCAGGAAGACAAAAAAGCATGAGGAAGAAGAAAACTCGGCTCATCGACTGGCCAGGGTTTGCTCGTTTGGTCCACACCAGAGTTTGAATGAGCGTTCACACCACTCCAAACGAACCAAACTATCCATGGTAGCAGACCAGGGTTCGTTTAAAGCGCACCAAATAGTGCCAATGTGAATGCGTCCTTAGTTTCACAGTGGTTAAAGTCACAAGGGACCATCTTGGTCCCATCTAAACCTAACAACACCCATGATGGCCAGATGGGTCGACGACTCACATGTGACCTCAACGACTGTAAGGGTTCACACCCACACAGAGTTTAAAGCTCGCGACTCCACACCAGTCATTTAGAACTGAAGAAGCTTCTTGAATGAAAGGCGAGACATCTTCAAGAAATGCAAGCAAGTCCGTTGCCTAAGATATAGCACTTATGAAAATGTATACAGAAGTAATCCTTCTCAATCATCACTGACGTGTGTGGTGAAGTATTTTTCTGTAATAACTCTGCCCTCTGCCTGTATTTTCTTCTTTTCTGTGTCTGGGATATTTATGGGCGTGTAAACCCACAGCACCCAGGTGAAGTCAGGGCTTAACAAAAAGGCAGCAACCAGGTGCCAAACCGTAAGCCGCATGCATGCAAGCGAAAAAAGACCCCACAAATGACGTGAGGCAAACCGCCAAACATGAGTGGCTTTTACCTTCATTTTTGCTGGTGAGCGTTTTTATTAACAGTACCCAACAATCCTGAATTGTAGAGCGATAAGTATTTGAGATTATTAATTATTAATTAATTAAATAAAAGATAGCCGTTTATTCAACGAAACAACAGATCCATCTCCTCACAGTTATTCTGAAAATGTCTGACTGATCAATGGGATCGAGTGAGGCTTGAAAGAAAGTGGACGAACACAAATACAATATTTTTTTTGTAAATTTTTCTTTTGTTTTGGTTTTGGGTTGTTGTTTTTTCTTTATGCATGTATATATGTAACGCTGTTGCATGTGTATACTTACTCTACGTCTATGTGATATTCTGTTGTCTCTTTCTAAACGCTCATTGTAAAAGATCTGTGGAATTTAACATGTACAACTGCAAGATGATGACTGTAATAATACCAAAAAAAGAAAATTAAGCTTGAAAAAAAAAACATTTACAAACAAATGAAAGGAGATCGGTACTGAAGTTGTTTTTTTTTTTTTACAAAAGCCTCAGGGCAGTGAGGTAGACAAACATGTAGAAGGTTTGCTCATTTAGGCTCAGGATTGCAGGTCTGTATTGACCAGCTTGCTGTGAAACATGGCTGTGGATTTTCTGCCTGACAGCACACCGGACCAATTACCATGGCTATTCCAGTGAGGTGCCTGCCGGCTCGCAGCCAGAGAAAGAGAGACAGGGAGAGGGTATGTGTCAGAGCACGTTTGTGTACTCTTGGGCTTTACTAACTTGTGGGTCTCACCACGCCACAGGCCACAAAGTCTGGAGCCTCACCTCAACTAGACAGACAGCTCTGTGGACAACTGCCAAGAACGTCAAAAGTGGGGACGTGGGGGAAGAGTGGCATGTATGAAAAAAGAAGGATAAGTGGAGGTGTGGAGGGAGAAGACGTGGCAAAGTACAAAAAAAATAAAAGTAGAGCCAAGGGAGCTATGAGAGATGAACAGGTGTGCGAAAGTACAGAAGCTTGTCAGGAAGGAGGGGAAGTGGGCAAAATCTGCACTGGACTGTGAGGATTGAGGGTGCAGAGGGGAAAAAGAGCTGCTTTCTCTACCACGTGGTTCTAAAAATAGAATTTGTTGACAGGCCAGCTCTCCGGTCTGAAACTGCAAGGAACCTGACTGACCTCAGAGTGACAGCCGCTAGGTAAATGGTCACAATCCCTGACGTCAGACCACTCTGCAATCAGAGTTCAAACTATGGCTATTTGGCTTAAAGGGCCACCCATCAACAAATAAAATCATGGTGTTTAGGGGCGTTAATGTGTCTAGCCTCAGATAGACTAAAAATGTCGCTGTGATCTGGGGTGGGACAGATAAGGACTTTGTAGGAGCCTGAGATAAACTGCTATGAGATCTTGCAGCAAATACAGAAATTCTAGGGCTTTTATCTAAATGAAAACAGGCTTTTGGGGAATTATTTTTCAGTTATATTAGTTTTTCCATGTCTGCAGTGTAAGCCAGCGGGTTAGGTTTTAAGCAGTTTTCGTTATTGTTTTTTTCTTGAAAAGCTACCAAATGGACCTTGAGGTAAGATTGTTGTCAAATGCTGTTTTCATCTCGCTGTGGGACCACACTGCTCCGAATAAAATGGCAAGAGTAACTATAAGGATCTGACATGCCACTTGTGCACATCTGGTGCTGCATCTTAAGAAACACTGCGAACAGTTCCTAATAATAACTCTCAAGCATTGTTCTCATCTATAGTGACGCAGCAGCACAAAAGGAGATGAGTCGTCCAATCCAAACAGAAATCAGCAATAACAAAATGTCTCAAATGAAAAATGGTCTAAACTCGAGTTCCACGTATTAGCTCTTTCAGCAGCCTTCAACGGTACTTCATGGTGTTGTGCACTATGGTTACGTGGACCAAACCCAACTCGTTTGGACAAGAGTTTCAGACTTTAAAATTTGATCCAAACCAAAATTACAGGTGAAACTTTCCCCGGGTCATGGTCCAGACCAGACAGTCGATCCTTGGTCTGACGAAAAGAGGTGGTCTCGGTCCGGATCAAACTGAACCACAAGTTTATAGAGTCAGTTGTTGTTGTTGTTATTATTATTATTATTATTGCTATTCATTTTAATGTGCTTATTTATTTAAATCTAATGTTATGTTGATTGTTTTTTGGCGGACGAGGATACGAGGATACAATAGGAGAGGAATGCAAACCTTAGATTGGACCTTGGCTCAGACTTAAATCAGCACGTAGAGTTCTGGCCCACAACTACATGAACGAATGATCTTTCACGCCAACACGAACAAAAAGCCCTAAAAGTGCCATGTCCAGAGACTCATCTCCGTGCCAAATGAGCACACTGTATAGAAATAAAGGCTGTGCAATACAGCTGAAAGCCAAGGAAAATGATCTGTGGCCTTAGTTACATTTGTCTTTTCATTCTGTGATCAGATGTGCCAGACTAAAATGCAGCTGTGTCCACACATGAGTCCACACTTGACACTTCAATGCGACCTGCCTGACTGGATAATGATCGAATATATTTCCATGAGGATACATTACCTGGTCCTTGTCCGCAAACATAGAATATAAAACAGGTTTTTTCTGTTTAAAAAGAGTAAACGTGGGAGGACAGCAAGTACTCAGACATCTTTTAAGTGGTTCCGTCTCCAGTACACCATGATCTCGAGCACCCAGCTGCAAGCTATGTGGTTTGTTAACATGACATAGCAGAAGTGCATATTTAACGATCTGGTGTGTGGTAAAGAGCGACACTCACTTGCTGTTAGGACAAAGCGTCAGAGGGAATTAGTTTGACCAGACATTATGACAGGAGAGGTTTGAATATGTTGGACTTCAACAATTACTGGATAACAGAAACTCTAGTGCAAGAAAGACCCTTCTTTTCTTTATATTTTGGGGTTTTTTGTACTGGTTGCAGGGCCCAGTGGTGCACAGTGGTGTCGGACAGCAGTGCTACAAGACAACAGGCCTCAGCTGTGCTCCAGACCTGGCTTTCTCTTTGCTTTTGCTTAGGAGAGGAACTCCAATGTGGCGTTAAGATGATGCGAGACCTACATTTGGTAAATTATCTGGATTGGGCCCACATACTGTCCACATATCACTGAGATCTGAACTCAAGGCGAACCAGGCCACTTCAGCATGTGGTTTGGCTGGTTGTATCCCAGTGCGAGCAAGATTGAATCTCTGAGCGTGCAGACTTGACAGTTAATATGTCCTGGCGTGATCGGATGACAAAGTGTAACCAGAGCCTATGCAGACCATGTTTTCTAAGGTCGAGAATGTTGATGATTCAAATATTAATCTACTTTGTCTTCTTCATTGTGTGTGTGTGTGTGTGTGTGTATGAGAGAGACAGAGAGAGTTACTTACTGCAGCTTGTTGTCTCTTCAGCTTATCTCTGTACTCTTCCAGCTCCTGCAGGTTCAGCTCAGGTGGTAGTTTCTATAATCACACACACAAGCACAAACACGCAACCTTATTGTTTGTAACAACTCATCCTCCTACACAGGTGAAAAAACACTCGAGACTTTTGCAAACACATCCGCAAACACAGTCTGTAAGCACTGCGTACTTCTATACAGCTGCATGCTGCTTCCAAATGTGTCTACTTCTCAGCGTGGTAAGAGTCCAGCCTAGGTGTGTGTCAGACAGAAATATTCAAATAAAGGCCACAGCAGAGTTTTTATCTATCTTGAGTGAGCTCATCTAGACTCCTGAGCATCTTTAAAATATCTCGCTGGGCAAAGATTGAGATGGTTTCACTGCGGACAGCGGTGGCTCTTTCTACGTTCAAAGCAAACAAAAAGAATTTGCTCAATAAATAGACTTTGCCAGATCATAAGTAAGATTAGTCAAGAAGGTAGAGGGCATTGTTTAGTAAACAGCAAACAAACTCTGCTAAGGAAAGAAGATATTGCAAATCCATGGCCCAAAGGATGATAGGTAATTACTTTCCCCTTGACTGAAAGTCTCATTTCAGATGGCGTAGCAATACCAAGATAAATCTAATGAGATTTCACACCCTTCCTCTGTTGAGCGGATGCAATCCATCAATCCCAACGTCAACGGTACGCATGCGGCTCAGCAGAAGTGTACAAAACAGCAGCTCAGGTGAGAAAGAGCTTTAACTCTGCCAGTCAGACAAGGTTCAAGGGGCAGGGAACTATATTTATTCACATCAGAAATGCAATATTGCTGTTATCAGAACTACTGAAATGTGGTGGGTTTGATGGAATTATTATTTTACGGAGGAGGGCGTGGGAACTTGGGAGTGAGTCTCTTGACATCATTTTACAAGCGAGTGGCGCCCATCCAGTCGATAATTCGCACATTCATACAGAGAGTCTCTGACCTCCAGTTCGTGCTGAACCATGTCGAAGGAGTCGTTAGAGAAGTAGACCTCCTCGATGCTGTCGATGATCTCCTGCTCCGCCTGGGGGTCTATGGGCTGCTCCCTCAGCTCCCGCAACTCCTCCTGGAAGAGAAGGAGACAGTGACAAAGAGAGGGAATTAAAATGTGTACTTGAAGTAGGCACTTAATAAAGTTCCAGGCACACTGGGACACAAACAGAAAAGGCTCCAAAACAGAGGATTACATCATTTCCTAAGTAATGAAAACAACAAACAAAGCCTCGAATATAAATACCAAGAAAAACCACATCAAAACAGAGAAAGAGAGAAATGGGGTAATAATGGGAAAAAAGAGGACAGGTGCCAAAGGGAAAGAACAATAAAGGGAATGGAGATAGAATTAGAGGAACAAGAAGTACCAGGAAGTTAAAGGACACGGGCAAGGGTGAAGGACAAAGTGAAGAGAGAGCAGAATAAAAATGAGACAGAGAACAAGAGGCGAGGAGAGGGAGAGAGAGGGTGTGTGTAGTGGGCATCAAAGTGCAGAAGAAAAACGTTAATCGCAGAGTTTGGGAGAAGATTGCAGCTTGTTTCGTCGGACAGCTGTCATGGGGGACGGCAGGGAGCCTTGAGACGAGAGACGAGAAGAAAGGAATGACTGGAAAAACACACGATGGGGATTCCCCTTCAGAGCATCTCTGAGAAACATCAGAGCTTTATTGATTAGCATGCCATGCATACGTTGAGGCGTTACTGCAGTGAGGGTTTTAGATGAAGGGTTTTAAACCTGCACTGCCAATGAGCCCAGATATAATCAAGGGTTAATAACAAAAGTGGTAGGATGACTTTATTAGCAAGTGAAGGAGAACAACACTGTTTGGTTGGTGCATATCCATTTCAATGTTTTTATGCGTATTTTCAATTTGCGCATAAAAACACCTGAGTGGCAACGACAAAACTTGCAAATAATTTTTGTTAAGTTTGGTAGGGCTGTACCGAATAGTTTAAAGCTTAATTCATAACACTGATATTCAAATTCAAAGTTAACATTTGAAAACTGTGCATCGTTTTTCTTTCATGTCTATTCATTTTGTTTAAAGCCCGGTATTTCTGCACAGTTGCAGTTAAGCATTGGGCTACACTAACATTATATATCATACGATTTGTTGAATTATACTCATGTGGTTCAATATTTTCCAATAAACCCTGAGCATTTTAACATCCAAAAGTCAAAATTAATTAAAACAAACATAAAAGGATGTCATCACATTTTATTTATCAAAACATTCTGCTTCAATGCATTTTTGTTGCCATTTAGCTGTTACACATCCCTTGTTTTCCTTAGTTGCTCCCTCTTCTTCTGCAGTAGTATAATGGCATTTGACTGGAGGATTAGCACCATCCACTGCTTATCTCCATGAGAAAACTCCCAGTATTCATTTAACAGTAGTGGATAGAATAGCGAATACATTTGCATTTCCTTTTGCCCGTCCTTGTCTGAAAATTTGTGCTACATTTGGATGGAAACCCAGTTATTAATGACACCAAAAAATGATAACTCAGAGGTGTCCAAATCGCAATTTGCTGCTCATTAAAGAGTCCACGGCCATGTTAAAAGCATGCTGACATCCTCACAAATATCCTGACCAAATACTTAAATATTAATACTGTGACTATATTGTAGGGTTGACTATTGGTGCTTTTACAAAATATTTACACAATGAGATTTTTGAACAAAACAGTCAAATCACTTGAATGTAATGCAGCCTTTAAAAGCAGGATAAGACAACATAATATTAGGATATCCAAGTTCCAGGTTGATATTTAATACCACAATATCAATATATTGCCCAGCCACAAATGTGAACCTCATAGTGGTGCTAGGGCCTAAAGGAAAATACGGACTCATCCTCTGGGGAATATGAATATTTGTACCCAATTTCATGGAAATCCATCCAACAGTTGCTGAGATATTGCAGTCTCTGTAGAACCAACTGCCTACCAATGCCGTTCCTAGACTCAAGCCGCTAGCATGGATGAACATACAGCTAAATATTACATTGCATCCCAATATTGCATCCCAAATAAAAGGAACAGGTGGATTCACTTTATGCCCTGAGTGGCCATCTTTTATATAAGGTTATGCTGATTCTGACAACTTCCTTGTGTGGGATCAATACAGTGAGGCATCAGCACATTAAAGCACAATAGCACTAAAAATAGACTGTAGGCTGAACTAAGATGGATGTAGAATCATGGGATAATTGCGATCTATACACCCCCACACACACGTTCATACCCTCTCAAATGAAAATATAGAATTCTCTATCAAAGATCTGCACATATCATCTCATATAGTCTTCGTGAGATAGCAGATGCTGATCAGGAAAACCCTGTTACACACCTGCCTAACCACAACTATTTTCCCATCTACTATCAGCAAGCAGCGTGCAGCAGGCAATGAAGCATGCTGCCCATGTAACTGAATCTGCTTCTGTGGGCGAGTGTGTCCCACTGAGTGACATTTATATGAGAACGCTGCTGTGAGTAATTTTTATGTTCGCAGTAGACTAACATTTAATTCAATTACACAAACAGAATCCCTTTTATATACCATATATAAAATTTTACACAAGGCAATTGGGAGGGTGGTAATTAAAAATTGAAATGCGTGCATGTGTCCATGCCTGTGTGCGTGTATGTGTGTGTGTGCAACCTTCAGGCAAGTGTGTGTGCTGCCGTGGTTGAATCAGGTGAGGGAGTGAGCAAAGGCCCCCGGGGGGAAATGTGTGGGTGAGTGTGTGAGATTGGGAAGGAGGGGTAGAGGTAGGAGATCACGCTCTGCCATCAAAAGGGTGGGTGGGAAATCAGCTCAAATGAGAAGGAAAGAGAAAACAGGGAAGGGCGGAGGGATGAGGTGGATGACTCATTGGCAGCCAAAGTTGGAGCGAGAAGAAAAAGAGAGAGAAATGAGGGAAACAAAAGACAACCATGTGAAGCCACTCCGGTGTGGTTAGAGCAATTCACCTCCCCCGTGTCACTATCGTTCTCGTCCCCCTCTCCCAGTGTCCCACCTGCGGTGACATGTGGAACATCTTTAAGTGAATGACTCCTTAACAGGCCACCTCAGGTTAAATAATTTCCTTCCCTTCCTGCCACTGCGTGGGCGCAAAACAAACCAGGCACCCCTGTGCCTCACATGTGAAACCCAACATCAGCCGCTGTGAGGCTTTGATCAAATTTTACTTTGAAGGATGAGGGACAAACACAACACACCACCCTGCACAACCCCCCCTGCAAAATTAGAAATCTATTTGCATCCAAAGTGTGGGACGTTTAACAAGCGATATCAAAGAATCAAAGTGGATACTCGTCCCTAATGCTGATTGAACGTGGAAAATCATGCGCGGAACAAAAAGGTGCTCAACAACACGGGGCCGTGATGAAACAGACGCCTGAATAAACAAAAAAGAGGTGCATGGAAAATCCAGCGAGACATCAGGGGAGAAAGACGGCAGGGTGAGGATACTGAGAGGAGGGCCAATTATTTCCACTATGGAATCATTCATTAGGTGAACAAATCAAAACGTCCTCACTGTAATCAGCATTGAATATTTATGCAAACTCAACTGGGTGTATATCCTCATCTGCTTCTAAACAAGGGTGTGACACAGCTGTCCTCTGGGACATTAGGACACAATCACGACCAACTTCAATATCCAGGCTGCCTCGCAGCTGTCGGCTGCCGGGTTAACAAGTAATACTCTTCATTTTTGTCACTTGAAAGCAAGTGATTATTTTTCCTTAACAGTCATTCTCCGCTCTCTATCTCTGTGCCAGAGGAAAGGCCTGTCTCTCTATGATGTCATGCAGTTGTTTTGTTACATGACTGCACAGGCAGGCCCTTTGAAGCCTAATTAGACCAAAGCTCATCTCAAAAACAAACCTGATTGGGTGGCTTAACACCAGAACACGTGAAGTGTCAGAGTGAGCTGTGTTCCTCCTGGAGACAGCCTGTGTGAACTAATGACAGGGTATCAAACATGCCCCCCTCACATCTTCAGAAAATACATACTGCACATGAGAGGCACTCAGCCAATCACATTCATTCTAAAATTTCAGGAAGTACTACCATATATAGCAGGTGATGCACTCAGCCTGTGTAAATGAACGCTTTTCATGTGAGCACTGAATTGCAGTAAAAGAGAACTGTGTAATGAGTAAACTGAGGCTGACCCCTGCTGGAGGGAAATGGTAACTGCACGTATCTCAAGCAATAACAGTAGGGGTGTAGAGGAACTACTGTTCGCCTCAAGGAAACTGAAGCCTCCAGGAAAAACTACTGTTAAACAAAAGAGTTTTCAGCATCACACAGAAATTAGCTTGTTCCAGAGTTTCACTATAACCTGTATTACACATTTAGGGCTGCAGCAAACTAAGTGTTGTTTAAAGTTGTATAAATAGATGATAAAATGTCAGAAATTAGTGGGGGAAATGTCCCTCACCATTCCAAGGCTAAAGACGTGACATCTTCAAATTACATACTTCCAAAACCTGAGGACAGCCATTTGAAAATAATGCAGACAAAGAAGAGATTTTTTTGTGGCTGCATTTCTGCATCAGCTCGGAAACAGTTGATTTCCTGCGCTTCAGTTTACATCAGTGGTTCTCACACTGTGGGGCAGATCCATCTAGGGGGGGTTAAGAGCCACTGAAGGTGGGGTGTGGATAACCATGGGAAAAATATGGAGTAATACAAAGCTGAATTAATCTCTCTCTCTGTCTCCGTCTGTCTTTATGTGTCATTATGTCATATGGATAACTGTAAATTTATTATGTCGATCTGCTCTGTACGAGATCTACTGCACGTCTGTCCGTTCTGGAGGAGGGATCCCTCCTCAGTTGCTCTTCCTGAGGTTTCTACCATTTGTTTTCCTCATTAAAGGTTTTTTTTGGGGGGGAGTTTTTCCTTATCTACTGCGAGGGTCCAAAGGACAGAGGGATGTCGCATGCTGCAAAGCCCTCCGAGGCAAACTGTGATTTGTGATATTGGGCTTTATTAATAAAACTGAATTGAATTGAATATGATTTATGTAGGGAAAATGCTATGATGCTGACCTTAATTTCACTAAAATTCTACAGAGATCCTTTTATTAGATGCTTCCCCAATTATTGTTGATGGCTGCTAAAAAAAATAGTGATAAAAATAGTGTGTGAGATTGACAACCCCTGGTTTAAGTTAGTATAACATATATTTTATATCTAGATAGCCTTGGTGATTCAAGCTTTTCCACACAATGCCAGATTGTAAAGATGGAGACCATCAAAGGCTCCACAGGAGTTAAGGAGCTTTTAAGTGAAACAGCGCAACACAACACCTGCAAAGCAAATCCTTAAAACGGACTCGCAGAGGGACAGCAGCTTGGAACAAAAAGGATCGGAAAGAGGGAAAAAGGGTACCCCACAAAGCAGCTTAATACCATCTCAGGAACCAAGAGAGACAAACAAAAAGAAACATCAAAGTGATCAAAAAGAGCTTGGAGCCATTTGGACTAATTCAAATAAATGAGGTTGTGATCTATTTAAAGGTTTTGGTGCAAACATGATACAAATTACTTCCTTTCCACAGCAGAAGACATCGGTTTTATCATAATCTTTGAGATTATATCAAACTGAAATCTCAACTAAGGTCAAACTTTTATTAAATTTAGGTCCTTGGCTCATTGTCCAGATTTACATGTAAATTCGTAGAGGGCATCAGGTGCGCAGCAGCAGGTTAAAGGGGGGGATCAGATTTTCTTTGAGAGAATGGTTTCCCCTGATATTAAAACTGCTGCTGGAGCCAAGACTCTGACCTCTGTGTGTCTGCACATACAACCAACCTGACATCTGTAACAGGAGCAGAATCAAATGCTATTAAAAATACAACTAAAAGTAGACAATGACATGTCAAAGTTTTGACAGACTAAACTACTTCAACTGTGGAACAGTGGAACTGAGCAGAAGTTCATGAAAAGATCAGTCGCCAGTTTGCCAGTTCGCCACTTCCTGTAAATGACTACAGCAAACCAGGGCTGTGTCCAGCCTCACAAAAACTGTTGCAAAACCATTATCTGAAGGGAAACGGTGGTGCGTTAAGCATCCTGTCGTGTTACAGAGGTGCACTGCCTTTTAATATGGCAGGGTTTCATTTAAGTCAATTCAAAGGGGCTTTATTGGCGAGGGGAACATATGTTACATTACCAAAGCAAGTATGAAATAAAAACAACAAAAAGGAAAGATCTGGTGTAGATGCGTACTGCTGCTAAAAGGATGACACCTCTGACACATCCATCAAATGAGAGAAAATGTATCTCAAAGCCGCATGTTGTTCAAACTGGGAACCGTAGCAAACTGGTGCACACCGTTTTGAGACTGAACGTGCCTCAGGTGAGTGGAAATGATTCATCGATTAAATGATTAGCCTATAATCAAGTCATCTTTTACATAATTTCTCAAGCAAAAATGTCATAAATCTGCTCGTGACAGTAAACTGAAAATGTACAGGTTTTGGACTGTTTGACATTTGAACTTGATACATCGGCATGTCAGTGTGTATGTGACGGGTGCTTTGGATAAAAGCACTACATAAATGCATCCCATTTGCCTTCCCACACATAAATCTCCAATTATAGGCTCACTGGCATATGTTTATGTTTTCCCTGCGCATCACATAAACACCATCAACCCTGCAAGTCATGTCAAAATAATGACTTGGCAGCATCATTTGTCAATCATCCCCCGCATCACTCCTCCCCCCCTGCAGCGAGCCAGATGTTGCTGTCAGCTCCTGGAGGATGATAAATGATGCGAGGCATTGCTAAAATAGCTGGAAGCACACAACTGGCACTAAGCACTAAGTATCACATTATATACAATAATAATAATAATGATGCACTAAGTCAAGCAGTCAGTTATTCTCCAGGTGTAATCAGAGCCAGGGTGAAAGCAGAGGGGAGTGTTTCATGAAAGATTTGTTTCTTTTCCCGCTGGCTTGTGGGATTGGTATCAGGCGATGTCGCCAAACTGGATAAACACCCTGGTTTTAGGCGAAGTAAAGAAGAATACTCCTGTACAACTACTTAGTATACCTGTTATGTTTGGCTGATGCACTATGAGGCAGCATAGCAGACAGAAAGCTGGGAGGGGCTTAGTTTGGATGTGAGGATAAATATGAACCTCAGCTTACCTCTTTACATTCAAGATGAATTAAGTCACCTGTGTGTACTGCAAACACCTGCCTTTTGTGTGTGGAACCAAAACACAGGGTTTATTATTTGATGATATTATGCGCTGACTTTATTTACTTTGCTGCAGGGCCTTTCAGCTCTCAGGAAAATGAAATAGGACCCACACAGGCTTTGTATACACCGAAACCCACGGTCCTCTTTGATTAAAGGTGAATAATCCACTCACTCTCCACTGTGAGGGCACACTGCGTGACATTGTTTCGGAGAGTGAGACCGAGGTGCTTATCTTATCTGAGCTTGATCTGTGTCACTGGATGGTTTTCCTGCAGTAACAGATTTGTAACAACAGAAGTGTGTATTGTATACACCAAAATAATGCAATGAACCCACATTATTAGATCATTAAATATCATCTTCGTAACAAAAATAATAAGAAATCATTGTTGTGTACAAGCCAACCAAAGGGGACAGCCTGTGCTCTGCCTTTTTATTTTCTCATGACAGCAAGACTTTTGAAACAAACAACAGATTGAGAGATATTTGTCAAAACTCTCTCAGCTTCAAGTTTCACAACTCTCATAGATGAGGTGGCAGAAAAGCACTTCCTTTTACTCTCATATTTTGCCTCGCCTTTCAAGCTGCTACTCAAACGGTACATCAGCAAAGCACACGACAAAGACCAAACTACAACAACATTTAAAACAACCGTTAAAAGCCAAGTCTTTAGAATGAGAGAAATGAAACGCCTGGTTGATTCAAGCTGACATCACCGTGCACTGCAAATTGAATTGGTCACCTTCCAAATAGTATGCTGCCACTTTAACAGAAGGTCATCACTACAAGGCAAAGTCAAAGCCAGCAACTAGCAGTGCATTGAGGTGTAAGCGAGTAAGTGACTATATATTATATAAAGCCACTCTGCAGCTTCGCTCAGTCTGCTCTTGGCAGACTGAAATTGAACAAGTGGGTAATGATGAATGCTTCCTGTGACTGAGCGTGACTGATTGCAAATGCCGCCATGCCATGATGCTAATAAAGCAGACCATATTTCACACTCCTCAGGTTGAGATTGATGTGAAGTATGTCCTTAAGTGATATAAATGGGAGCCATTGGTCTCTTTACATTACAGTCCAGAAAACCCAGTAGGTGTGATGTAACTCATTTACAGGAAGCAGTTCAAAGTGTAATACAGTGACACATAAATTATACAGTAAGACTGGTTCAAATCTAATCTTGTCGTGTCACTTGTATCGACATAGCTGTTTCTGAGTTTGATTGGCTTTTGTAAACAAGATGAAAAAAATGGTTGCTCAAAATAATTACTTCACGCTAGGGCTGCACGATATGAGAGAAAAATCATGATGCGATTATTTTGACAGATATTCCAACTGCAGTATGAGTCATGATTTGATTGGGAATGGTCATTTTTGCACTGAATTTTCACTGATTTTTTTTTTGTGCTGGTGTTGTAACAAACAAGCATGTTCCCTTATGTCTGAAATAGGGCTGCAATTAACGATTATTTTCATTGTCGACTAATCTGTCGATTATTTCTTCGATTAGTCGACTAATCATTTTATCGAAAAGTGTGTTGAAATGTTGAAAAATGTCAGTCTGTCTCTCCCAAACCCCAAAATTATGTCATCTAATGTCTTGTTTCGTACACACGCCAAAGGGTTTTAGTTCACCGTCATGGGAGAGTGTGTAAAGCTGCCAATATTTGAACGTAAGAAGCTGCAATAAGAGTATTTTGGGGTACTTTTATAATACTTTTCTATGAAACATGACTCAAACCGATTAGTCGACTATTAAAATAGTCACCAATTATTTTAATAGTCGATTAGTCATTGATTAGTCTACTAATCGTTGCAGCCCTAGTCTGAAATATGATTTGTAGGCCGTGGCATATCTGTTAGCGTAGTTAGTAGCAGTATCTATAGTTATAATGGCTGTGACAGGTTTTACCTTTTAAACATTTGCAGACCCTGCAATTTGGATATTGCACTTAGCCATATTGCAATTTCAGTAATATTTTGATTAATTGTGCAGCCCTACTTCATACACTACACAAGCACAGTACATAAAGCAACAGTTTAAAGGCATATTTATACAAGTGGAGCATTTTCTTCTCTCACAGTTGTCGACAAAACTCTTACAGTATAAGTAATAAGTAGTTACAGTATAAGTATACAACTAGTCAGACCTTACTGCACAATGAAAACAGTTAAATAGGACAGGTAACAATCCGTTATTACCTACTTTTATTACAGAAATGTTGATTTTATAGGAGCCCAAATGTGTCAATCCTAACAACACAACTGAGAGTTACAGCTTCAGCCTTGTCATGAAGTTTACCTTGCTCGGGATCCTCAGGTTCTCCACAGGACTGAGGTCTGCCATGCTTTCTTGGGGGCTTTTCAGGCCCTGTCAAAATAAGAGTCACTGTTAGACTTTAAAATCCCCCAAAAGTCAACTGATAGTACAGCTGTAACCTGCTCCCGCTGTCACACAGCTTGCTATTCATCAGCACTCTGCTGCTTACAGTAAAAAGTGGAACTGATGGGCAGATTTGTGAAAGCGATATGCTCTGTTGTGTAGTGGTGAACCAATGAATGTAACATTAGTGCTGCAGTGCAAGCTGAGAACTTCCCTGACCGCCCAGTTTCCACTGTTGTAACTTAGTGTTGTGTTTGTCTACTGTTAAACTCCCACCGGTATTACTAGCAATGCCGGTGTATTCTCTTTACGTGGGGTGAATAGTTAATAACTGGGACGCAGTGGTTCAAAAAGCGGCCGTTATCCGTCCTGAATGTGGCCGTTAATGAGCCACACGACGAGCTGTCAAATTAGCCACTTAGCTTAGCTAGCTGTCATGCTAGCTACCTGCAGCTGTCACAGACAAACCGCCGGCAGCTCGCTGTCTGTGGACCTGCTTCGCTCACCTGCCGGGCCATAAGAGACTTGATCTTCTGCATCGTAAATCCGACTCGTGTCAGTGTAAAAATAAATGAGTAAAGTCACAGTTTTGTTTTGTTGTCAACGATGCGCCTCCATCACTACGAGAGGGAAGCCATAGTTGAGCGTCACGTGACTGGTACAGGCAGGAACCGGAAAATTCCAAAGCATCCCGGGAAATGTAGTTTTTATTACGCTTATTCAAAATATTTGCATTAAATTCAAAGTATATGTTGTTCTGCATAAAAAAAAATCCTAAACTGTATTTAAAAGCAGTGTAAGCCAATAATTTAATGATGCTTGTATTGCTGCCTTACACCACTGGATGGTAGTAATTTAACATCATAGGATAGAAACAGAATATTAGACAGCAATGTTTATTTTGCCTCACTGAAAAAATATTACCTCTGTGTTTTATTAGTCACCTATAGGTGTCAGGTGAGACATTTGGACATGGCACAAGGAAAAGAACAAGTGTGTACAATAAAATAATGGCTGTGGGTACTGGATTGGTGCATGCTGGGACCCTGACACACTGTCACATAGAGCAGATCGCATCAGCAACACCTGTGCATGTCAAAATGTCTGCTGGGGAAAAAACTGACTTATTACTGAGCTGGCCGACAGGGGCCCTAAGTGTCATCGCCCCCCTGGCCTTCACACAAAAAGACAGCAAGGAGACACAAACTGACTAGGAAATAGCACAAAAAGACCACCAACAGATGGAAAGGAACTGCAAAGGGACACAAAAACAAAAAATACATAAAGGGGAGAGAAAAAACACACACAAAATAACACAAAAGTACCACAAAGAGACACAAAACAACCATAAAGAGACAGAAAAAGACCAAAAAGGAATGAAACTGCCTCATAAAGACAACATGACTACAAAGAGATGCAAAACCACTACCAAAAAAAGGCAAAACCACCACAAAGTCTGTCTCTTGCTCCTCTGTAGGAAAGGTGGTGGGTCCTTCTGCATGTCTGTGCCCAGGGGCCCATTATCTCATAATCCACCCATGTGTGAAAAGCACCTTGTTTCAAAGGTTGTACTGTTACCAGGATTTTTCCCACTACATAGCTGTACATAAAGCCAGTAGTGGAATATAACCAAGTTGATTCAGCTGATTACAATCCCGAAGGACAATTTTAAAACATATATGATCATTATGTAAAATATGAGACATGGTTATAGACCAAACTTCCCAAAAGTATATAAATTAGTGAGAATGCGCTTCTCTCTAATATCATTTTTATGTGTGGCTGCATTATTTTGCCAAAAATATCTCCACATTTTGTGATCATGTCATCGTGTCATGACATCCATGACTCGGTGCCATGTAGCTCCATCTCTGCCAAGTAATTAGACCTGGCTCTGCCTTGTAAACTGTTCCAAATAATTACAAAAACGGTACATGCAGACCCATTCAGCCTGTTCTGTAATTGTCCCCTCAGGTGTTATTTCGAGCAGCACTTGGTTAAAAGCAGGCAGCATGCAGCAGACAGCAGGCACTGTGAGCTCTAGTTCCTGGTTAATGATGCCTCAGGCTATTTCCCAGTCAAATGAAGGTGAGGTCGCTCTCCTTAGGTGAATTTACTCCACTGTTGTTTGTTAGGCAGTCATCCACAGTACGGAGCCTCCCTTAAAGTATACACTGAGACGGAACAGATGGCAACCCCTACCCGGAGATGCCACGGCAAAGACACTGAACACTCAGTTGGTCAGTTCATCAGCTATAATTAGAGCTAGATTCAATAAACTGCATGTTGTTATGCAGGGGAGCATCACGATAAGCAGCCCTTATGACTCAGAATGAGTTTCTGATCTTGGCCATTTATTATCCAGAGAACAAGCTCAAACACACTGGTGGAACAATTTGTCATGTTGGCATATATGTTGTTAAATAATAATTCCACCCTCGTGTCATTTATCTTGTGTAAAACCTTCAAAATCATCAGTTTTCTTTAGGTGCCAAATGTTTATATTCTAAGAGCTGTAAAAGTTTCAATGCCAGATGTAATGGTTTGTGAATTTATTCGTTTTTTGTGCCGCAGCATTTGAGATGAATGTGAATGGAAGCACTCAGTGACATAATGAGGACAACACAATGTTTGGTAATAAGCTGAATCACAGCTGAAAGCAGACTGCTGCCTTTAAGTGGTCTATTCAAGGTGGGAGGAATAATAGAAAAATAAGTGTCCAGGAGGATTTTGGAAATTGCATATAAAATTTGACCTCTATTTTCTTATCAAATGACTTCTGTGTCTAGTCTGTATATTTACTCCCCGTCCCTTTGCCTCTCTTAAACGTAGACACACACAGACAAGCAAGCACACACGTTTTTACTCGTGACAAGGTGTCAGCAGGAGCAGGTGGAGGGCACTCTGCCACATGCTGAACCATCCGTCTGTTGCTGCCCGTCTCCATTTCACGCCAGGTACACAGCATACCAATGCAACGAAGCTGAAAGGAGCATTCTGCAGCAATTTGGTGGCAACAAATACAACTCAAACACTTGTGAGAAGGGAGATCACAGCCAGGACGTCAGACAAAGGCTGACTGTGAAGCAGCAGAACAACTGACATCTTTGCTGGCATCAGCTTTTTTAGGATTTGTGATTGAGAAAGTGTTCATTTCAAGCCCTGACTTTAAATGCCATCCTATGAAAAAGTGTGAATATAAATGCAGGCATTGCAGAATGAAGTACATCTATGAAAAATGACCCAGGATAATAAACAGTTATATCTTTAATAAAGTACAAAACAAACATGTGAATGCAAACTGTACAATAATTTATGAATCTTCAATCCTTTTCCTTGTTTCAGCATTTCATTATATCCATGTTGAGCAGAAAATGATGCTACATTTGTGGAAACAGGGTTAAGTGTTTCTATGGGAATAAATAGATTGGAGCAAAACATAAAAATTGAATACGTATAAAGAATCTGCAGTATAATCCATGTACAATATTTACAGTTAAACCTAAATATATTTCATACAAGAAAATGCATTCATTATAACACTTGTCTCACAAGACTCTCATAGGCGGAAATGTTAAATTAGAAGGATATTATTAAAATGGCAATTAAAACCTTAGTATTTAAATTAAACATATGCTTTAAATAGATTGGGTACCTTGTAGGTAACTCATAATATCAACTAAGTTGCTTGGTTTAATATAATCTGAAGTGATCTTAATTTTTGAATGAAAAAGACAAAATAATTTCAATTATACTTTCACATAAAAAAAAAAATCAAACATTTCAAGGCATACTTACACTTTCATCTCACAATAATGTCAGCAAAAGTCATTTAACATCTGTCCCAAACTCTGGACAGCAACAGTGCATGATCAGGTTGTGTACTCACACAAGTCTTCTTCATCCCTTGTGCAAAAAACGGGCCACCAAAACCATTATTTCAAGCTTTGACAGCAGAGAATAAAGCTACACAGGAGTCTTCAAGTGAAATGACCATAAGTTCCATTTTTAACTCTCCAGCTTACTCCAGCAAACTGTGACTGGGGGTTTCGGGAACATGTCTGATCACATCGTAGATAGTGGCGTGCATATCCTGAACTGACTCCAGGCGAGCCAGAGATCTGCAAGATGCCTGCAGGACAGTTGCATAGGAACATTTGAAACACTGCACGCAACAATAGACAAAAGCTTTAAATCTCACTGAGCTGTCACTGAATCCATGTCAATGTACAACATGATAAATACCTGTGCAGACTCCATTTTCCCAGGTATGGAGACAAACTCGTAGATGCCAAAGTCTTCCGTTGCATCTTCATGACCTGTAAACACACAGACAGTAATGTCAGACCAGTGCATTGGTATCTATTTTGAATCAAACATTACAGTAACATGATGAATGTGATGACACCATGAAACTGTTTTTCAGCTGGGATCAGTGAGACACGTGGTCCTTGTTTGCTTTTCTGCTTTAAACTCCTCCTATCTCAAACCAGTTTTTTGGGAATGACTTTCAGTTAAATGGAAAACCAAGGCCCTGTTCAACCCTATGATCACCTCAAAATATCATGATGTGAGATATGTAGACATGCTCTTTAATGTGGGTGTCCCTGATAAGCAGGAAAAAGCATCTCTTAAATGAGCTGTATATGACAATCAGAGAATATTAGAATCTGTGTGATTTCAAATTGATGTACTTTTAATGTTGTTTTGTGAGTTGACCCCAGGACAATCTGGAAATCCATCAGTAAAAAAAAATAAAATAAAATAAAAACTTTTTTTTTCTTCCTTTACCTCTGGAGGCACAGCCCGGAGTTTTTCGACTAAAGGAAGTGGAGGGGACTCGGTGATCACTCACGCCCTTCACTACAATCGCTGTGTTGTTTACAAATACTTCGGGTAGAAAACCAGCAGAGTTTAGCTATATAGCTAAACTCTGCTGGTTTATATCACATTTTTCACGTCACTATATCACCATGTAGACTAATCTGATGTTTGTTAAGTCTATAAACACAATGACTGAACAAACGTTACTATTTCTGTGTGCACGTTTTGTAAATAATAACAATAATAACATCGTAGATTAGCTGGGCTAACCGTTAGCTGTTAACGTTAGCCATTAGCGGTTTCTGTAATAACCATAGACTGTATAAAAATAAGGTAATAACTCAATAAACGGTCCGTGAATAAAATATTTTTTCCAGCGGATATCTTAGTAACAACATGATTGAGCTAGCAAAGCAGCTTTGTGTTGCTATGTGTGGTATTTATTCAGTTATGGGAAATCACGATGTCTAGAAAGCAGCAGTGGCTGCAGCTGACAGGGACAGTTAGCAAAGCTAACATCAGGACGTCATCTGTTAAAAGCCTCCCGTTGTTGGATACGACATGAAATTACTCCAGTTAGCTCAATCATGTTGTAACTAAGACATCCGCTGGACAAAAAAAAAATTTTCACGTTGGACGAGACGTCGTTTTGGGTGGAGCGGTTGCTATGGACGCAGAGCTTACTGTTTCTGTAGGTACACATTTCCTGGGGACACCTGCACATCTCGGCCATGCCCCCTCCATTGTGATTGGCTAAAGCGCAGCATCGTTCAAACTCAAAGCCCCGCCCTCCCCCCCTCTCTAGTTGTCTTTGAAACAGG